AACCATTATGATATTGATACACAAGTGAAAATTGTCATAGCTTGTGTAGTGTTACATAATTATTTGTGAGAATACCAAAGTACCGATGAAGTATTTATGGTCTATGAGCATGCAAATATAGTTGCGGATGATATTGACCAACAAATGGCTCAAAGTAACAATGTTGGTTCGTCTTCTCGGTCACATGATTGAGAAATGCAAGTTCAACGTGAGAAATTATCCGTATTATGTGAGAGGATTATATTAAAGACTAGTACACTACAATTTATGTTCAATTTTTTTTATTAAATTAAAGTTAGATGAAACAATTATTTAAATGGAGAACAAAAAACTTTGTAATAATTTGTTATGCGATTTTATAAATTTTTGTTTATTTGATAAGATTGATAAACAATTGGGTTATTTTAATAGTTTTACAACTTAAGGGATTTTTATATTTATGAGAAAATATACAATACAAAAATTTCATATCAAACAAAACTTCAATTTCATCTCATGATATCATATCGCATGACCAAACAGACCCTAAGTGTCACAATGCTTGTGTTGGAATCGAATTTGTTTTAAAATCTTGAATTAAAACTTACAAGATCCTCTTGTTCGTTCCATCTGCAATCCCTAGATGGTATCAGACTACCACTTAGATTTGGTAACTCTAGCTCTGTAGCTGAAATGATTGTCTTGTCATATCCATAGATGAAACAGTCTTTCCGATTTTAAATTAAAAATAGCCAGATCTTATAGCTTTAATATATCAAAATTTGAAAATTAAAAATTTATTTTAAAAAGTTTTTTTTTTAAAAAATAGACTAAAGAAAATAAGATAAATAATTATGATTTTTTAAAAAAAAATTATGATTTTAAATTTGTTATAAATATAGTTATCCAAATTTATTGGTAAGAATAAATAAAAGAAATTAAATTGAATTTTTTTTGAATTTAAATTCTTAAAGAAAAATAATATTACCAACAACAACATACCAGTGAGAAAAATAATACTACCACATAAATAAATAAATAAATACATAGGAGAATTTTTTTTTTTTTTATCAATATAGATAAAGAACATTTGTAATGGATCATTTACCTGCTTCTTATAATAAATATAGAAAATAACAATTTTTATTTTCTACATATCCTGCCATTTTTGTAAGGAAATTATTCAGTTTCAACTTGAAGAGGTGAGATTTGACCATCAATGAGCTTAAGAAGAAAAAAATCATTAGGATAAAAGATCATTTGCCCCTTTCTTTATTTTTTCTTTTTGGTTTAAATTCTTGCCCCTCTTTAATCTCATTTTAATCAAAAATCTTTATTGAGTGTTAGAGTTATATACTTGTCATAATAAAATCGTCATTCACGATTACTTTTAACTATTGTACTTCATCTATCCTATTTTACATGATAATATTTTATTATATTAGAAATTAAAAATATTATCTCAACTTTATATTGCATTTATATCGGTGATAATAATAATATTTGTATGCGAAACTCTTATTTCACTTGAAAATCTAGTATAGTCCTAAAAATATTACATTTCATTAATTTACAAAATATAAAATATTTATGGCCAGTGGGACCAAAACATTTTATATAATCTTATACTACCTACTCTAATCTGAGTCATTCACAAGTGAATTATTAAGGGATAAAATAGTCAACGCCCTTAATTACTTTCTTAGAGGTTCAAATAATGATAGTTTTGTCTTATTTGGTGATTATTGTATGTATCATAAGTATAAAAATGTTTCTAACGAATTAAATTTTAGTGACTATAGAAAAAGTCTTATTTCTTGGTGGTGCTAGTTGAATAAATTTTGATTCCCCTTCCATCTATATCCAATAAAGTCTTCCACCTGATAATGAGTCACAAGGGGAAATTAACATTCTTTTCATTTTCTCTTTTTTTTGACAAGATTATTTCACTACTTCCGGTGTTTCATTTTAATTGTCGTATTACGTTTTTTAGAATCAAATTATATTAATTTTGATAGATATTTTAAAATATATTTTTAATTGTATTTATAAAAGAAAGATTGTAATTTAATTATATTTTTTTAAATAATTTTTGGCACTTTACTTTATGTGAGACAAGTTGACAAGTAAAAAGAATGAGGAGAGTATACATACCTAAGCAGTTTCCAAGTTATAGATAACATGACAAACTATGTGATTGAATTGTTCCATTTTTATTTTTTATATTTTACCACCCAGGAGCTCTTTTTTTTTTTTTTTGCTCCCTTGACAATTCAAAGTCATAATTTTAGAATTGAAAATGAGTATGCTTATTATTATTTGAGCAACTCTCTCTTATCACTGAATTGTTTCATTATAAATTTTTTTAAAAAAGAACAACTAAAAATATAAACAGAGAAATTGAGGCAAAGGTGGAATAAATTTACACACACTCACGTTTACACCAAAATCAATTATTACAGGTTCTCTTTTATACTCACAATTATCACTCAAATATGACTAAATCATAAGAATATATAGTATGTATTTTTAGTATATTTTAAACGGTTAAATTATTGAATTTGGTATAAGCACAGGATCCGATCAAATATTTATTCCTTTCATCCCAATTTATAAGTGTCTTTTTTACTTTCTTTAATTTTTTGGTCTGTTTCAAAGGAACGGTTATTTTTATATTTCGTAAGTTTTTTTAATTCTAATACAAGATTTTAAAATACATATTTTTAATTTAAAATCATAAAATTCAAAAAAAAAAATATTTAAACTTCGTACTCAGTCAAATTAAGACATTTAAATTATAATGAAAGGAGTAAGAAAGATTAGAAGATTCATGAAGTCGAGATGGACATTGTCAAAAACGTGTATAATATAGCAAAATATGGTATGATATCGTTAAAGTAATACTAGTATGTTTATTTAAACTTTAGATAAAAAGGATAATAAGTGATGTCATCTCAATTTAATTGTAGAGTAGCGTATTCCTTTTTCAATTGGAGGTTTGTTAAATGTTACTTTCTTTAATGTGCTTCAAACTCCAAATAGCTAACCCTCACTTGTACATTACATTTACATTACAAGTGTTGAATTTAGACAGCTTAGAAAAAGGCTTTCCAACTTGGGAATCTTTTTTGCATCACATTATTGTTTGTTATGACTTGGAAGCCAAGTAACTTTTTTTTCTTTCCCTCTCTCTTTGATAATATTGGTGGTAGCATTAATTAGTGTTATTAATTACTATTAAAAAATTACTTCTTTCATTTTAATTTGACTAGGAGTTTAAGATTAAAAAAAATTGAATTTTAGAATTTTAAACTAAAAATGTATCAAATATACTTAAATGTTATTCAATCTTATGAGTTTAATATGTCATATGAAAAATTAAAATTTAAAAAGTGCTAAAAGAAACGATATCCTTTTTAAATGAAATAAAAAATAATCAGACAAATAAATTGAATCTGTGAGAATTTCCTTAGGGTGAAAATAAGTAAGAAACAAAATATATAACATCTCTAAGGCAAATGCATCATCCATCTAAAGTTTTTTTAATATTTGTTTTCCACCTACAACGAGGACGACAAAAGTAGAGAGAAAGAAACTTATAAGGGTATTATAATATAAATATTTTATGCAAAAGCTGACGTCAAAAATATTCCCTTAAAAATCTAGTTAAATTCTCAATCTTGAATTAAAACAGTTTAAACTTTATATGATAGTAATGAATCTTCGTTAAATATATAAATACACACTAGTCTAATTGAGCTGATTATTATTAAAATGACTTCTGACGTTTACTAGTTCATCTAAAAAGCTAATTTAAATTACACTTACTAAAAAAAGCCTTATTCAAAATTTTAAAAAAATTATAACTGAAAAAAATCATTTGATTGCAGTATTTAGTTTGAAAGGGGAAACTAAAGGAATATATTGAAATTGAATTATATACCACACATTATAGAAATATCCAGCACTACAAAAACGTGAGAAATCAATTGAAAATATCCAAGGACAAAACCGTACCAATGACATTTGTCGGTTATTTTTCTCGCAAAAAATATTTGAAAGTTATTTTTCTAAAAAAATACTTTAAAAAATTTGTGGAGTCTCATGATTTTATTTTATTTTACGAAAACCAAGAGACACCATCAGTTTTTTAAGAGACTCCATCAATCTTTTAAGTGCAAAACTATAGTTGAGTACAAAATAAAAATAAGAAAAATATTTCATCAAAATAACACGTATGCAGTGGCATAGCCGCAGCCATCCCAATTGGGCGCCTTTATCGGAAAATTACTTTGTATATATATGCTAAATTCTACCTTTAAAAGATATATATTTAATATTAGACACCTTAGACAAAAGCTATTCTTTTTGTGCAGTGATAATGTGTATCCATTTAAATGAAGAAGTTCCAAGTTCAAAGCTCAAATACCACAGTATTTTTTTATTTTATTTTGACAACCACAGACCATTAAATTATATCAATATTTATTTAAGAAAATCAACAGACGTAAAGGGAGTTCATCAATTTTCTTAAATCAACTCCCACATTTTCTGACATAATCGAATCCATCGATTTTAGGCAAAAAAAAAAAAGAAAAAAAAGAGGAGGCACATCAATTTCATTTCTCGATTTGCGATCTATTTTTTATTAATCATTCCCAAAGAGTATGAATTGATAAATATTCCTCTATTATTGAACAAAAAAATTGAGTTCAAGCATCAAACATGAAGCTATGCATAATCGAAAACATTTTACTCATAAAATCAACTTTCTGACATAAATTTAAATTAATTAAAATACATGGACAAAAGAAAAATTGACATCACACAAGATTACAAGTGCACCAACAAAAAATCTCAAGCACTTTCAATCCTCATCATAACAAGCTAGGAGCAAAATAGTCCTTTGAGTTTTAACAAATATACAATACCATATCTTAAAACAAAATAGGTAAAAAGAAAAAAACTTTCTACCATTAATAATTAGTTCTCTTTTTTTTTTCTTCTAAAAGTTTATAATTAATTAGTCCTTCAAACTATATGTAAAGTTGGTGCAAACAGAGCAATTTTCTTGCAATTATGAGATAGCCATTTAGAGTGCATATAGCTAGCTTTTCTCCAAGGTGGAACATGTAGACCTTTCTCTCTAAGGGACTGTTTGGCTGCTGAACAAAGCAAAGAGATTATGCCATTAAGTTTGTCCTCAGTACCCACAAATATTGATGGAAGTGAATTTAAAAGCTCTTGATATTCTTGTGTTGGCCTTGCTAACTCAAATTGAGACCTAAAATCAATATCCACTATTAATCTCACTCTTTCTGATCCATTGTTAATTTCTTTCATCATCACATCAATGTATTCATAATCACCTGTAAATTGAAATGCTTCAACATACCCAAACAAACAAACAAAAAAATCAGCAAAATATTTCAAAGTTGGGACATGATTGTTTTTTTGCTTATTCTAAAAAAAAATAGTTAATTAAATAATTGTTTGGTTATACATAATAGTCAAGTGTTTACTCTAACTTGAAAAAATCAACACCTTTAAGAATTGAAATTGAACCTGAAAAAAACATTTTTAAGTTGAAATTGTGTAGATACATGAATTTTATCTGAAAAAAATGGATAATGTTCTTTGAATAAACATTACTATTTCACATGGAATACTTCTCAAATATTTTTTTCAATATTTCACCGTAATAATATTCAAACTAATATCCCTTTGTCTCAATTTAAGTCTCAGTTTTTCGAAATTTCAAGATGCAAACACAAAAAAAGATATCAATTTTTTTTTCATCATCCTTCTTAAATTATTAATTATCACGACATATAATACATTGTATAAAATAAAAAACTTAAAATTTCTTGCCCAAACTCACAATCAAAACTTAATTATTTGATTCTTGAAATTTGAACTATATCACATGAATCGAAAAGTGGTGAGGGGGTAGAATAGTACCTGAAGGACTTCCAGAAGAGGTAATCCAAGAAGTTTTACAAAGAGAAGCTTCATACTCATCCATTCTTAATCTATTCACAATCCATTGTCTCAACTTTTTAGGCTCCATATTGTTAACCATGTTTCTCCAATAAAACAAGATTTTCCCAAGAATCTCTTTTTCACCATCACTAACATTCTCAAGAATATCCTATAAATTAAAAATAATAATTGGGAATTTAGATAAACATGAAAAGAAGATGTCAACATTATTAGATGAAGCCAAAAATAAAAAAAAGAGGCAAAATGTACCTTTAAGGAAAGATAGGTATTATTAGGATTATTATGATCAACAAGTTCATCAACTTGAAAATTTTCACAATCCATTTCAATAAAATCTCTAACCATTTGGGACAACTTATCTTCATCAAGTTCACAAATACCCATAATTTCTTTCTCTTTTTTGTTGCTTCTAATGTTAAGTTTTTTCATATCATATATATAGAGAGAAAACTTGTTCTTTTTTTTTTTTTCTTCTTTGTTTTGGTTGGAAGCTTTTATGTATTTACATTAGATAAAAAAATAAAAAGAGGAAATCTTAAGGATTAATTGCTATAAGATACGATTAATATTTCATTATGTCATCAACAGAATATACATGTCCACATCATATACTCATCAATAGAGTGTTGGAGATTAGGATAGGCCATGAGTAATTAAAAGTAATTAACTTTAGGTCATTTCCTTTCTAATTTCTTGCTTGACTTTTTAGGGTCTTGACTCTTGACCCACAAAAAAGTTGTTAACTAATCTATTTCTGATTACAGTAGAGAAATCAAAATAAAAGATATAAAAGTTTATTCACTTATAGCCAATTAATAAATAATAAATATATGGTAAATCCTTGAATTATTAATAAATTCTAATTTTTGTCCTTGTAATATTTGATTACATATATTTAACCTTTAATTACTTGAAGTGTGTACCTAGTTCTTTTATTAGTAAATATTCAAAATTATAAATTATTTTACTATAATTACTCATGTATTATGTTATCCTTGTATCATTACTGCATTAGAGGATAATGTATTTCTAGTAGTTCATATATAGCATATTTTCCGTATAGAGGCACATTTTGGGTTTGTTTAGAATGAAAACAAATGTTCTCTATAAAAAATGATTAAGTTTTACTTACATTTTTGTATTTGATGAGTAAGAAAAATATTCTCTTAAAAGTATTTGTATATAATTTAAACAATTGTTATGAAAGAAGAGAGTATAAAGTAGCTACGAGTTTGGAGTGGTGGCAATGAGGGCTACAAGTAGAGTTGTCACAAAGGGCCGGCCCAAGCCTCGCGGGCCAAGGGTTTATATGAGTTGGGCTTATAAGCCCTAATTTCAAATGGACTTGAAAACTTCTATCCCCACCCAACCCCTTATAGGCCTTAGGGGTTGGTTTGGGACCAACCCCATTTTGACGGCTCTAGCTAGAAGGATTGGGTGAAGAGGGGGTATTATAACGATCCAAAATGTTAAGGTAGTGAAGGCACCACCTTCTCCGTTAGCGAACTTTGTTTGTTTGACAATTAATTAATAATATAAATAATCCAAAATAAACAATTAGCCTATTTAGCAATTAATTAAGGGAAAATTGTATAAAATAACAAATTATTAATTCAAATTAAATGTTATAACCATAGTTTGATTTAATTGAAACCCGTAGCAAACATTTGTCATTCATTTTTCTCCTTAGGTTTCTCGCTCACCAGTCTCTCCCCACCCCTCTCACTTTTATACAAACACAAATGTATAAAATGCGTTTGTGTTTGTATAAAGCGAGAGAAAATTGTATATACAAATATGAATACATATATTTTCGTCTCATACACTTATAATTATACAAATACAGATCTTTCCCTGCCCAGTTCTCTTTTGCCTTTCTCTCTTTCTCGCTTTATACAAACACAGATTATACAAATTACAATGTATAATTTGTGTTGTATAAAGCGAGAGACATAAATTGATATACAAATGTTTTATTTCGATTCAATTGTATACAAATTCAAATTTTATGCAGATATACAAACACATAAAATTGAATTGAGAGGCTACCAACGATTTATACAAATGTCCTGCTAGTGAAATTATACAAATCTGAAGCTCCTGTCAGCGAGTTATACAATCCGATGCTCCATAGCAAACTTTAAGTTTGCTATGGAGCGCAATTATACAAACTATAGTTATAACATATAAATATGATTTTGATGTTTGTTATATGTGAAAGTTTCTCATTAATTAATTGTTCCCAATAAATCATAAGTGCGAGACTAAAAGATCAAACGCAAAGCAACTCCAAAATCTGATAATAGTGGCACAAGACCATTTACAAATACAAAATAAGTCTCAAAAATCTAAAATAATTGTTTAAAAGGAAATGGATATAAAAAAAAAAAAAACTTAAAAAGTCTATGGAATTCAGTATTACCGAAGAGAAAAGTAACTCATCCTAAACTCTCGAAGCAAAAGTCTTGATTGCAAGTTGCAAGTCAAGCACCGTTAGTACCTATTTAGTCTTTATACGCAAAAAAAAAGCAAGAAATATAAAGTGAGTAAGCAAATGAACTCAACAAGCTCTGATTATTGATCCTTCTAGAAGCGATAACGAGATATAATCCTAATTATTATTGATAAAATAAATGATCATAACATAACAAATAAAACATGTATTTTTTGAAAATTTGTTATACCATTATATGTCTCAGATGTAACAAATTAAATTATTAATATTACAATTATTTCAAACATTTCAACACTAAATCATTACGAAGTGTATAATGGAGATGAAATAAAATAGCCAATGACCATTATTTCTATAGAAACTAAATTGTATAGGTTCCACCAAAATAATAGTCCATATTTAACACAAAAAATATAATTATTTCAATTGATCAACCAAATATGTAACTGGTCCTTTATTCTATGTGAGTAGGAGTGACAAACGATCGAATCGAGTCGAATATGAGTTAAGCAAAAATAAAACAAGTTACCTACTAGATAATATGGGTACCCCCCCGCTGCTATCCCCCAAAAAATATTTTTAAAAAAAAAATTATTTTGAAGTTTTGTTTTTACCAACCCACCGTCTAGCCCCAAAACTATTTAAAAAAATTACCACCCCACCCCCTAACCAACCCCACCCCAAAAAAATGCAAAAAATAATTAATTTTTTTTTATAAAAAAAATAAAAATTGAGTTTTTCTTGCCACCCCACCCCTACCAGCCTCCACCACTTTTCTTTCTTTTATGAATAAACATTTTTTACTCATTTTACCCATTTAACTACCCACTTTTAAATAGATATTATGAGTATTATTCAGTTTTTAATCATTTTAAATGAATTGGGTACCCAAACCATTTAAAATAGATAAATATGAATTGATACCTATATAATTTAGAACCCATTCTGCCAGGGCATAATATCGGAAAACCAAAAAAAGGAACCAAATCGAACTAATTCGGTTCTTCGGTTTTTCAGTTCGGTGTCGGTGTTATTTTTTTGGAAGTTCAGTTCGGTGTAAGGGTCTCAAAACTTCGGTGCACCGAAGAACCGAACTTTTATTTAAAAAAAAATAAAAAAAAGATTAAAAATAAAAAATAAAAAAAAATAAAAAAAATATATATATATATGAGCATTCTCTTAACTAAAAATTAAAAAAATTCAACCAACAATTAAATCATTCATGAACAAATCAATCTAACAACAAATGTACAATTCAATAGTTTACTTCAAATATTAATTTCCAAGAGAAACTCAAACATATTTCTACCAAAGTACATTATGTAAAGGAACCGTCTTCGTACTTGTTTTTCTCGAGAAATAGTTGGAAGCACAATGTTCTTGATAAAAACAAAATATAGTCTTTTAGTTAGCACAATAAGTGTTACACGGTGATACGCATCATTCCTTAACATAGTTTTAAATTTCTACGTATCTTATACTTTATCCTTATTTTATTTTTCTTCACACCGAAAAACCGATTTAAAAACACCAAATTAAATCGAACTGAAGTTGAAAAAACCGAACCAAATTAGTTTGGTTTAATATACAATGCACACTTTTCTAAAATCGAAAACCGAAGAACCGAACGCCCACTCCTACCTATAATTGAGTAATTGAAGTGAGGGAACATTATAAAGTTGGAGTTAAGAATGTGGGCTGCGGTAGACAAAATGTTAGGCAGGGCCACAACCAAAGCCCAATCCATCTTTTTAATGGGCCAATCTTACGTTTGCCTACCATTGAGCACTAGCCCATGAGCAACAATATTCAGAGCATCTTTTACTTTCTCCTTCAATTCGAACGGATAAAATTTAGGAAATTTTGCATGATAATAATCATCATGGTAGAGAAAATATGCAGTACTATGTATTAATAATTTTAGCTACACTAAAAAAAAATAACATTCTATAATTGTATTTCACTTTTTTAGCATCTCTCTTTTTTCTCTCAATCTTGCTTGCTTTTCTAACTATAATAGAAACAACTATCAACGATAATGAATATGCACATTAATAAAGAATGTTAAAATCTTCATTGGCATTAGTTAATGAAAAACTATTTATATACACAACTTAAGAAATCATAATCTCTAAAATCCCTACCTTTTTAAAAAAATACAAATATCCTCTCTCGGATGCATCCCTCCCATTAAGTAATGTATCGGACAACCAAAGAATGTATCCTACACCCAAATGTATGAGATTTCTATAGTTTTTTCTTAGTTGATTATCATTGAATCCAATGTCGCCATAAGTTTTAGGGCATTTATGAAAAAAACGTTAATTGATTCTAAAAAATATATTTAAAGCGATTCAACTATTGCCTTTAAAGATCATTTTTGGTGTGGTGCCTCCTCTATCTTCCTATCTCGCTCACCTCTCTCTATGTCTCTCTCCTCATTTTCCTTTATCCCCCTCTCTTTATATTATGTGTTTCATTGTATGATACTCATTAACAAAGACATTTAATTGTATTCTATCGTATACATAAATACACAGAAAAAAAGAGAGAGAGAAAATACCCATATAGGTTGATACAATGTGGAGTATCAACTTATATTTCCATGAATGATACAGGAAATATGATTTATTGAATTTGGATCAGAAAGTTATTTTCAGTTTTCTCCATAAAGTAAATTTGGAATGAGTCGATAAGTAGAAATATCATCATATATAGAAGTCATTGGAGTTAAGTTGATAAAAGTAAAACATGCGTGGTTAAAACGTACACTTTTTCCCTACTTTGTGAACCTCACTCATTATATTAGGGTTTCCACTGTACAGCCTCTTCTCATCATCTCTGTGTGGAATGAGAAAAGCTTGTGAAATTTGTAGGAAATGGGAAGGTGATGAGTGTTTCGGGGAGGTGTTGGAGTGGGTGGTGTGGTAAGATTTCATATTTATTTTCCATAAAAATTGAGATCTTGCCAATACCGCCCATTCCTATGGCTTCCGATCATTTCTCTCTATCCTGT